CCTCATTCTTCTCTTCAAATGACGATGATAATGAGGATCTGAATGCAATTCTAAATGTTTTCAGAAAAACAGAGAGAAACGGTAGAATTAGCAGTAGACACTGGAACCCATTAAAGAGAGGGTTGGCCGGATGGGGTAATCGGATTTTTTCGAGAATCTCAAACACCCTTCTCCTATTCTTTTTCTTCTCGTTCATTCTTCTCATTTTCTTATTCCAGCATGTGTTTCTATTGGATTTCAGCCGGCGTCTCGAATGTTTTCAGTACGCCAAATGAGTTTTCTTTCTGTGTTTCTCTTCAATTCTCTTCTTTTTCAAGACAAAAAATTGGGAACGAGCGACGTTGGCTCAGTTGGGATGAAGACACAGATTTCTGAATAGAGACGGGTAATTATTGTAAATTATGAGAGATGACGAAGCGATGAGGTCTCTGGTCGGAAGCTGTCTTCCGTTTCGTAATTTGAGAAAGGGATCTTCTATTTCATAAAAATAGAATCTGGATGATGATGTTATTCTGATTTTTGGTAGGCTCGAGTTCAAATGTTTTCATGGATTCTTGAATTTTTTCAATTCTCTAATTCTGAACAAATTAGTAATTCGATCTTTATCCATTTTCAATGATTTTGTTTTTAAAAAGTCATTGAACCAGAATTTCTCATCGGGGATCAAGCTGACTTTTCTAGAAAATCTTGAATTTGAGTATTTCTGTTTTGAATGGATTTCTGAAATTTTGGAAATCCTGATACTTGAGAAGGCTATCCGTATCTTTTGTGTTTTCGATTGTGTTTTGGTTTGCTTCTTCCTATAAATGGAATCTTGGATCAAAAAAACAAAAAGTCTTAATTGAAAATTTTTATCTTGATCCTTTATAACCTACCGACTTGCAAAATCTGGAAACCGCAAAATACATCCAAAGACAATTTCCAGATTTTTCAAGTGGCTACACTCGGTTTTTTTTCCGTTTTCTGGGCGTATTTTTTCTAATAGAAGCCCATCCTATACCTGCACTTTTTTTTCAATTATCTTGGTTCCTTCAAGAGATATCAAAAAAATGATCAACTCATCAACTATTTATCATAATGTCACCCATATTTTGTCAGTTGCCACATTTTTGATATCTCTGATAGGAATCGAGATAATCGAGCTCAAAGGTGACAGTTTGGGTCGCCTGCTCAAAAAACCCTCAAGTTCACGAAGTTGTTGAACATTTTATTTAAAGATCTGGTTGCATGATAATACGTTTTTATGGTTCAAGATTTATGATATCAGATTCTATTTTTGTCAGCTGCATCATCAGTTCTTCTCCAGGGTGCACCAAAATTATAAATCTGAATTTTCAATTGTAGTCCTTACGGCCAACCCCTTCTACAATCCCGCCCCAAACTTTTGTGAACCACCCGATATTCCATTTTCATACGTTTCTCTACCTCCTTCTCTTCCCCCAGACCGGATAGGCGGTCTCGGGATTCAATTGCCTTTTTTCTTCCCGATCGTCTTAGTTTTTCTTCTGTTTTGTTTTTGTTTTCAATCTTGCTATTCATCTCTTGCAAGAAAAGATTTTAAGGAGGTCCCTCCCGCAATTGATAGCTTCAGAAAAGCCCGGGATAATCGAGTTATCTCCAAGAAAGGGATCGAGAGTAATTCTCTTCTTTATCCGTTCCAGGAGGAACTTCCTTGATCGAGAAATCATGAGGGATAGAGAGCAAACTAGAAATTGGGGGAGAGCCCACCCAAGTAGAAGCAAAAATGTGTGGAACGTCCGGTTTTTTTTCGGCAAAGAGTTAAAAGATGATGTGAATATTCATGTTTTCTTTTTCGCTTCTTTTTCTCTTCTCCTCATGCTCTGATGGAATATGTCTGCAATTGACACTGTTCCTCCCGAGACTATGGGGCCTCTTTTTTTTGAATCGTCAGAGGAAAAACGAAAAGAAAAAGAAAAAAGATGTACTTGATTCTCTTTTTTAAAAAGCGCTTCTTCTTTTTTTGTTATTTGGTTTCCGGTTATCGAGTGGCTCGATTTTAGCAGATAATGGTTGAGCTGTTGATCCAAAAACAGTAGTGATCAGATAGCCCGTATCTTTTTAAGAACAAAAGAACCCAAATATTTTGCTGTCACCAAAAACTCAAACATTTTATTCTTGGAATGAAGCTGTCAGATGGCACATCATTTTGACATGAAAATCAGCATATTTTTTTCTCAGTTTTCTTTCCGGATTTCATAAAATTCAAAAATCTTGGAAGGTGAGCAAAAATCAAATTTTTCCCCTAGTTTTTGGTCTTATTTTTTTGCGATAATTAAGAAGTTAGGTAAACCCGGATGTTTGGTTTAGATTGTTTCCCATATTTCCTAGATTTCAAGTTTTCAAATTCTAGATTTCAAATTGTAGAAAATCAAAAAGTATTACCCATAAAATAATGCAAAAATTACTGTCTAGAAATTTTTTCTCATAAGCCTCTCACGGAGTTGAACTTGTGAGACGAGTATTGAAGATGCCGCGCAGCTACCGACTGAGCCACGCGGGCACGACAGCTGTAACGCTAAACCTTGAACACCGCCACGTCAGAATTCACATGCCAATTCTAAAAAAAAACTCCAAAAATCTCCTGCCCCCGTTCCTTTGATTTTTTGCCCACACACAGAAAAAATTATAAAGAAAAAAGTTGGAATTCTATGAAACCTAGACCCTTTTTCAAGTTTCCGGTGTCTAAGCGCTCACCGATCCAATGTGACCGAAAACTTGAACTTGGATCACCCCGTCATCCGCCTTTCACCATCATCAAACCCGTGTATTCTTGACGCCTTCATCTTTTCACACCATTAAAATACCCCAACAAGAATCATGACGTTGCCCTCCTCCTCTTCTTTTTTTTTGTTTCATCTCCGATCATTTTCGTTTTGTTCATGATTCTCTCCTTTCCCCCATCTCTTCTTTCCCAGTCGTTCCGTTTTTCCCCATGAGGAAACTCAAAAGAGCAATTAATCAAAGTGGAGTCCTTGTTGTCAAAACTCTTCCTCAAACCAAAGTTTGGCTCGACATTTACATTTCAGATGGATCTCTCACTTTTTCTTTCCTGAGATTTCTTTTTCTCTTCGTCTGGAAGTTTTTTTTTCGTTTTTTTACGTCGTGAATTTTCAATGTGCATCCAGATGTACCTCGCTTTCATTCAGAATTGATAAGCTGTTGGAATAGGATGTAGATCGTGGGGGATCACCAAATCTTTTTATGAATCTAAGAATCTGTAATCTTCTTACTATATTAGCTTGGCTTTTTAATAAAAACAGACGGATATCCGTCTGGAAATAACCAAACAATGTTAGAAACCTTATATGACTCAAAATGGTCAAAAATCACTGTAGATCATAGAAGAATCCAAAAGTTCAGTTTCAGTTTTCAGACGTCGAGATCTCTAAAAACGGAAACAAACGGAACCTAAAAGGGTGTAATCAGAGAAAAGGGCGTTGAGATGTCTTTGAGCCGGAAATTAGACACGCGTACATAAATTAAAGCATGCCACTGTGCAATTTGTCTAGAACACAGAGGTTATTATGATGACACATTTTTTTTGTGAATGATGAAGCCTCTTTTGGAAAAAAGAGATAACAGGTTTTATTAGTTTTTTGTTATTCGATTTTTGATGAGTTACAATTCTACAGTACCCGATTGGATATGTTAAATGAATTTGTAAGGTTTCCTAGGGGTTCCTAGAATCTGCGTCAGAGACAATGATTTTTAGTATCTGCTTTTTTTGAAAATCAATATGCTTTATTTTTTTTGTAAAAATTGGAATCTGATCAATTGATTTTTTTTTCAATTGATTTTTATCATTTTCAGAAATCTGTATCTCGGCTGTCAAGTTTCCGATCACTTTGAAAAGTTTAGAGGGTCTAAAACAGACCTAGATTGAAAACTTTGTACTCACAGAATTGTTTGAAAACTCCTAGTTTTTCATCTATTTTCGATTTCTGAAAGACACCCCGTTTTTGTACTGAAGACGTGAAAAAAATAGGTGACTTTCAGAAACCAGCAATAACTAAAAACACCTCCTGCCCCCCCCCCCCCTTTAACCTCATTATCCTTTGAAACTTTTGTTTTCTGCTAACATTCCAAAATCTAATATTCTTTGAATCCAACCCCTCGAGTTTCTATGAATCACGAATCATGAGCAATCGGGAAAATTATGAGCTCGAAGATAATAGATCAAAATTTACTTCCATTATGACGGGAAATTTGATTAGAATGATTTTTACAAGAAAAACAAGAATTACATTTAAATGTCTATAGAAACGGTGTGGGTGTAATTTTCTCCATACTAATTAGGTTTCAGTTTAAAGGATTTGTTCCCAAAAAATTCTAAAATTTCAGAATTTTTCCAAATTTGAAGAACCTGAGCTGGGACCTCATTTTTTAAGTGTGCTTTAAAAATTCAATTTTTCTTTATCTCGTTTGATATGAATATCGTTAAATCTGTAATATAATAGCTCATTAACTTCTAACTTTGAGCCAATTTTTCTCGTCAAAGACATCTAAAGGTTGGCAACTGATAAATTGTTTATTGTAAGAAGTGTTTTGTCAGTTGACTGAGATAAATTGGCTATGGGAGGCCTTCTATTACGGGTTTTATGGCAAGTGACTCTATTACTAGAACTACAGTAACTTTTATGATGCCTTCCCGAATCTTCCTTTTCAATCATCCTAATTCACTTTTTATTTCTCCTATTTTTTTTCAAGTCTCATTTCTCTGATTACTCTACAGATTTATTCTCCAATCACTTTTTTTTATCTTTTAATCCACCTAATGGTATCTTCTTCCTCTTCCCCTCTATACTTTTTTTTCAACTCCTTCCTCTCTTCCTCTTCTCCTTAAGCTCCGCCCCTTTCTTGCTCAAAGGAGCAAGAAGACGTGAAGCTCAGTTTCTCGATGAAGATGGCTCCTTCTTTTGATTTACTACTTCTTGCAGATCATTTTTGATTTTACGTTCCGAATTTTTTCAGATTAAATCATGGACTATGAATATGAGTTAATCGAAGTGGAAGGAAAACACAATTGCAGTTATTTAGTAAGTCTTTCTTCAAATAAAATCATGAAAGTAAATTCTTCAGGGAACAGACTATGTGATAGGAAAGATGTTTCTGATTGGCCTATTCGCCACGTTGATCGCCGTCACTTCCATCATTTTCAACACATTCTACACTATCGTGTTTATTCGGAATCCCTCATTAAGGTGTGTCTAATTATTCATAGGATTCTTGTTTGGTCATTTTTAAAGGAGAAAAAATAAGCTGAAAACATGTGGGGGTGTTAAAAAGATAATAAGGAATACAAAAGTTTCTTTGAAAAACAAAAAAAATCAGGTAGAAAAACATCTAGAAGGTGGTGTCATCATAGATCATGTTCTTCTGAAGGAAGATTCAAGTCGTCTACTTCGAACCGAAATAACTCATTTCTTGTAAAAGATATAAAAAAGTGATCAACTGACAAAATATTTTTGATATTATGATTAATAATTTATCAGTTGACACATTCTTGATATCTTTTATAGAAATTGAGATAATTGAGCTCGAAGTTGAAAGGTAGGTCATTCTATCAGAGCGTTTACGGTATTCGAAAATTCATTGTGTTTTGTTAGCATTCAAGAAGATTTCGAATCATCCACCTTCCTTGGGTTTTTCGCCTACTGTATGATTCATTTAATGCAAACTAAATCAGTCATAATCTCCGAGTCATTGACATTTCCAGACGTAGCGGTGTGTTCTACTTTGGCGTCATCGCAGTCATCGACATCATCATGGGCATCAATTATTTGGCTCTCATGGTTGTTCCAGTAAGTCATTTTGAATCAACTCCTTCTCTTAAAATCCGCTTATCGACTGATGAAATCTTTTGTTATTTGGTGAAAGAGAGAGGTGTTGCGTTTCGCACTAGTAATCGGAGAAGTCGAGGGAATTCAGAAGAGTTGAAAGGAAAGAAAAAAGTATAGAAAGTTCTAGAAAATAATTCCTTTTCTTCTGAAATTGGATCTACTCATTGTGATGATTATAGAGCCTCCTGATCTCAGATTACTTTTATTGCAAGCCCAAGTTTGAAGCAAAAAAAAACAAGAAATTAGAGGGACTTGCCTGACTACGTAGTTTAATTTCATTACCTTCAATCAGAGTTCACTAATTACAAACCACTTTTAGTTTCTTGCAACAAAAAAAGACCTCCACTTCACTTTTCTTTTTGGCACTTAGTCCTTTGAAAAAGCCACAAGTGCGTACTTCCTCCGGATATGGACCCGGTTTTTCGAAAAAGGTCCTTTGAATTGGTTTGAACTGAAATGGGTCAGAGGTCGAGAAAAACAAAACGAAAGTTGAGAAAAGGGATTCATTTGGAAGGTTATTTACCGTATTTCCTTTAATAAGAGCCCACAAAATCTGTCAACTTTGAGTTCAATTATCTCAATTTCTGTGAAAGATATCAAAACTTGGTCAACTAAAAAGATGTTAATCATAATAAAATCTACATTTTATCTGTTGACTAATTTTTGGTAGCTTTCACAGGAATCGAGATAATTGAGCACAAAGTTGACGGGTTGAGAGGGCTTCTGAGGAAATACGGTAAATGTTCTAGAACACATATACAAAGTTAGCTTTGGTCTTAGCTTCAAATGGAACTGCCGAGCCTTACGGTTTTATGCATTCCAACGGAAAAGAAACACGGGCAAAAACCACCGTATTTTCTCCAATTGAACCCCATGGGCTTCTATTTTTCAACCTCCTTTTCAGGAAATTACCAAAAAATGAAAACGTCAATAAATTTTTTGAAAAAGAAAGAATATACCTATTTCCTCTAATAGAAGCCCAAAATTTTGTTCAAAAAATCAGAATTTAGACAATTCGGAAGTTAAAAATTCTTAACTTCGGTGTTTTTTTTAGTTCGAAGTTTTCATTCTGCAATTCTAAACTCTAAAGTTCCGATTTTATGAAATTCTGAGATTCTAGAATCTCAAATTTTAAAATTCAGGAATACTGTGGATCAGAAATTAAGAAATTTTCGAGTTCTAAAATCACAGTTCCCAAAATTTTGAATTACCTGTTTTCTCCAATAGAAGCCCATGGGCTTCTATTAGAGGGTGGTCTTCTATTTTTCGAAGCACCTCGCGGGGTGGGCTTCTATTAGAGGTGGGCTTCAAATAGAGGTGGGCTTCTATTAGAGAAAATACGGTATCTGCAATAAGTGTACAAACTGCACTAAGTAAACAGCACGAACTTCTTTTAGAGGTTGCGCTTCTATTAAAGAAAATACGGTATTTCGAAAAAAAAATCCGGAAAAATCACAGTGCTTTACAATTAAGCTTTTTGCAGGTCTACATGGATTATTATCACTACCTCCCACTTTGGCACATGTTCGTCTCTTACGTTCGGATAGTCATGACTGAATCCAGCTGCGCCATGTTCGCTTCAATGCTCATGATCGTGTTGGCAACAACGGAAAGATTTTTGAAGACGTTCGACGGAAAAACGATATCTGTATCTAGAAAGTTCTTGGAGAGGAATCGATACGGCGTCAGCGCATTATGTATTCTCCTGGCATGTGCCTACAAATATGTTACTTATTTTGAATTAGACGTCGAACGGTATCCAGAATGTCCCGATTTTGAGTGAGTACACCTTCTTCGAGTTGGCAAACTAATTTTCTAGAATTTCAGAGAATACGAAATCGCTGCGGGACCATACGCTAAAGATAAGAATTATCGTTTCTATTTCATGTTCCTTCTTCGTAACACACTTGACAGAATTCTCCCGTTTTTGGTTCTTCTCACAATGAACATATTGATTGTGAAGGCGGTGAAGGAAGACGAAAGACTGAAACTACAAAAGGAGTCAGTTGTGAGTAATGGGAAAACGGTGAACTTGAAATCGCACCGAAGGAATGTAAAGGACGCGACCAGGGCATTGATCAGTCTTGTCTCCATTTATCTCTTGTCGCAATCTCTTCAGGTGAGGAACAAATAGAAAATTATAAAATAAAACATGAAATTTTCAGGTATTTCTGACTGTCTGGGAGACTATTAACCGGTCAAGTCTGGAAGATGGATTCCCTGTCATGTACTCTTATCTCAATGACATTGTTTCGATTTTCACACTGCTGGCAAGGTAGTGTTCCTTTCAAGTACTGACAATGAACTCTGAAAAACCTCAAAATTTTCAGTTGCCTCCGCTTCCCCATCTACTTTTGCTGTAACCGTCTCATCCACACTGCCTCCATCGATACTCTCCACGGAATGAGAATCACTTGTTTCATGGGAAGTTCCAAGAAACCACAGGAGTACTCGCCAATTCACGGTATTCCCAACTCTTTGGAATGTGGTGGAGCTATTGATGGTGGATCGAAGACGTCGTTGAGCTCTCCTGAAAGCATTTCCAAACCGTCGGCAGTGTACGATGAGAAGCTTCAGGAATGGAGATTATGAAAACGGGTTCTGGAACTATCTCGTTGAATTTTAATTTTCGCTGATTTTTTAATGTGTCTATTTTTGTACAACTTTCCTTTTTTTTCAAATAAAATTCTAGAATGAATTCACAAAAGAATTAGATTTAACAGAGAAAGAAACAGCCCGAGAAACAATAGCATAAATCAAAATGTACATGAAAAAAATGCTACAGGTCACTGAGATCATCGAAATTGCGTCCATACTTCTTGCTTGGTACGAATGGTTCCCATCGAGAAGCTGGATAGATATGCTTGTTCTTTTCGTACCAACTACGAAGTACGATTTTCGCTGGATGTGACTCTCCGTAATCTAAAGCGGCGTCTTGTCGAATACGAACGTCGGATGCTGAATCGAACACGAACAGTGGTCCAGTTTTTCCCATCGCCTTGGTGACAATGAAATCTTGGAATGTGTAGAAGTGTGGAATGATGAGATCTTCTTTCACGAACATCAGATTCTCAGGAGTACATGCTTTGAGTTCTGTGAATTCTTTCTTGAGAGCCTGAAATACACGGAATCAGTATATTATACTGGTCACGCTCTCCCACAGAACATTTCGAACTGCAAATTAATTTTTGATCCACAGAAAAAAGGTTGGCGCGATCACAATTGCAGGTCTAAAACCATAATTTCAGAATTTTTTATCCGATTTTGTGGAGTTCCAAAATGATTCAAATGATTCTTTAAAAATTAATTAGTGGTTATAGATTCATGTATAGTCGTTTTCCGGAATAAAAAATGTCAAAAATGGTCATTTTTGAAAGTTTTTTTTGAAAGTTTTTTTTAATTATTTAAAAAAAAAACATCTTTTTCTCTAGAAAAAGTGGATAATTTTTCGAAGTTTTCAGTTTTGTCGGGTAAAAAGAATACTCGAGAACATTCCAGAATTTTCCGAAAATGACGAGAAGTGATTTTTTGAGACTTTGACAATTGTTTTGAATTTTGTCTTTGTTTCTTTACAAATCCTTCCGCCACGGTCACCGTTGTTTCTCTTCCACAAACGCGCCCGTAAATCCACAATAATACTCCGATTTTTAGTACCAGATTGATATACCGTATTCCATCTAATAAAAGCCCATGGGCTTCTATTTTTCAACCTCCCTCTGGGGATGTACTAATTTTTGAGAAAACGCTCAAATTAGAGGGTTTTCGGTTTTCAACTGAGCTGGAATAGTTATATAACGACAGGAATTAACAGAAAGTACCAGAAAAATAAACAAAAAAGAGTATGGATACCCTAACCGAAAACAAAAATGCACAGCCAGGGTGGGCTTCTATTATAAGTGGGTTTCAAATAGATGTGGGCTTCTATTAAAGGAAATACGGTATATTTTTTATAGTTGTTTAGAAAGAAGAAATTTCGGGAAAAAATGGACCTCAATAGCTCTTGCCAGACACTGCGAAATAGTGTTTCCTTTCTTGACTTTCATATTCTTTCGATGAGATGAACCATCCCAGTAGGCATAAGCAACTGTGATCTCCTCATTCTTTTCTGTATTTTGCTTCACTCTCCATTCGGCTGCTAGCTCTTCTTTTTTCCTAAAAACGCACTTATATTTGATGTTTCAATTTCGCGAGTTACTACTTTCGTAGGAATTCTTCTCGTTCCTTATCTGGCAGGAAACTAGTGTCGACTGTTGGATCCATTCCCACTCGCTGAAACTTGTTCACTTTTTCGTGTATTTTTTCTGCAAATTTCAGTCCCAACCTTTTTCGGAACGATAGGAGCTGCATCCTCATCTTCTTCTTCGTCCTCATATGCGAAGGAAAGCACGCGTTTCTGAAATCAATGACTATATTATGCTTGTCTGAGAAAAAAAAAGGTTAGAGAGTATTTTTTGCGGTGAATACGGTAACGATATCGAAGCGGAGAGCCAAAACAGCACACAAACGGTGGAGACGCAGACACTTTTTCTCTGCGTCTCAACCTTTTTTTTCTCAGACAAGCATAATAGAATCTTCGAGAATGTTCTATTGCACTTTCTTTCTCTGCGTCTCTTTTCTTTCACTTTTGCCCGCGATTTTCGAGTTCTCGAATGTTCTAGAACCGCTAAAGTCGGTATAAAAGGCGAGGATAGCATAGATTTAGCAGTTATTTCAACTACTAAAGCTACCAGAATCTCTCTACGTTTTTGAAGCAGTTTTCACAGTTACCTGGGTATGTTTCGCTACATGTTCTTCTTTTTCGCGCGCTTCCTGAGAATCTTTCGCTAGTGATGTGCTCGAAGAAGCCCCTCGGGCGACTTGAAGGTCTCTAAAATAAACTCAATTCAATTTAAAGCAGGCTAATAATTTTTGACCTGTTGGAAATCTCATTCTTTTGAATGTTTTTCATGTCATCTAGAGATACTAATCCATAGGTTTTCGACTTGACTGATTCCTCCATAGTTTCATAATTAGCTGTGAACTTGCTCGTGATACCAACTTTACCTAAAAAATCATTTTTATTTGGGGCCCTGTGTTAAAAACTAACATTTTTCTTTATCTTCTTCTAGTTTTCGTAGTTGCTTCTCAATATCTTCCTTCTCTCGTTCGCGCTTCTTTGCCAGATGAATCAGGCGACCTTCGTCGGCTCGGGACATTTTTGGGTCTGAAAATAGGACAATATTGAAATGCAAACTACTTTCTTTCGGTGAGAAATCGGTGTTTTTATTGAAATCGTTGATATAAACATTAGTATTAGTTGTATTTTAGAAGAAACATTCGAAAAATAACTGTTTTTGAGCGAATAAGCTAAAAATAGTCATTTTACTAGGAAAAATCAGCTGAAACATGTAAAAATTTTCAAAAAAAAACTCGACGTTCTCGCGGCCTAACTTCCTCTGCGCGACCTCTTCCACTTGCTTCAATCGCGCTCTGCTGCGAAAATTCCTTCGAGAATGTTCCGCCGAGAAGGGCAATTTCGAAACCGACCAATCAGCGCGCTTGGCCACGCCCCCATTCTAGAACATTTCGCCTCGCATTCAAAAATATCAAACGAGTCTCTCCTTGATTGTCAGAGCTCCGTTTGACGACGGATTTGACCATTTTCGCTCGTGATTTGGTCGTTTTTGGTTTTTCTCGGAACAGTTTAATGTTTGGGAATTCACATAGTCGCATTCTAGCGTTTCATTGTGCATTATATTCAGAATTTAGGCTAAAATTTCAAATAATCAGAATCTCCCTATTCAGTTTCAGCCGAAAAAAAAATTCCTTCTGATTATTTGAATTGCCGGTCTCTTCGAAAATCCTTGTCTTTTCAAATGTTTTTTCATACACTTTTTTACAGAACTATGTCCGAGAACGCTGAAACCTTCGCATTCCAAGCTGAGATCGCTCAGTTGATGAGCTTGATCATCAACACCTTCTACAGCAACAAGGAAATCTACTTGCGTGAATTGATCTCAAATGCTTCTGATGCTCTCGATAAAATCCGCTACCAGGTTGGTCTCATTAATAAAATTTCTCCTTTTACCTAATTTCTATTGCAGGCACTCACAGAGCCATCCGAGCTTGACACCGGAAAGGAACTCTTCATCAAAATCACTCCAAACAAGGAGGAGAAGACCCTCACCATCATGGATACCGGAATTGGAATGACCAAGGCTGATCTCGTTAACAACCTCGGAACCATCGCCAAGTCTGGAACCAAGGCCTTCATGGAGGCTCTCCAAGCTGGAGCCGATATCTCTATGATCGGACAATTCGGAGTCGGATTCTACTCTGCCTTCCTCGTCGCTGACAAGGTCGTCGTCACCTCCAAGAACAACGATGATGACAGCTACCAATGGGAGTCGTCCGCAGGAGGATCCTTCGTCGTTCGTCCATACAACGACCCAGAGCTCACCCGTGGAACCAAGATCACCATGTACATCAAGGAGGATCAGGTTGACTTCCTCGAGGAGCGCAAGATCAAGGAGATCGTCAAGAAGCACTCTCAATTCATCGGATACCCAATCAAGCTTGTGGTTGAGAAGGAGCGCGAGAAGGAGGTCGAGGATGAGGAAGCCGTCGAGTCCAAGGACGAGGAAAAGAAAGAAGGAGACGTCGAGAATGTCGGAGAAGATGCCGATGCCGAGAAGGACAAGAAGAAGACCAAGAAGATCAAGGAGAAGTACTTCGAGGATGAAGAGCTCAACAAGACCAAGCCAATCTGGACCAGAAACCCAGACGATATCTCCAACGAGGAGTACGCCGAGTTCTACAAGGTAAACTAAAGGGATCGATATCAATGAGTACTAAATATTGGTTTTTACAGAGCTTGTCCAATGACTGGGAGGACCATCTCGCTGTCAAGCATTTCTCCGTTGAGGGACAACTCGAGTTCCGTGCTCTTCTCTTCGCACCACAAAGAGCTCCATTCGATCTCTTCGAGAACAAGAAGAGCAAGAACTCCATCAAGCTCTACGTTCGTCGTGTCTTCATCATGGAGAACTGCGAGGAGCTCATGCCAGAGTACCTCAACTTCATCAAGGGAGTCGTCGACTCTGAGGATCTTCCACTCAACATTTCCCGTGAAATGCTCCAACAATCCAAGATCTTGAAGGTCATCCGCAAGAACCTTGTCAAGAAGTGCATGGAGCTTTTCGACGAGATCGCTGAGGACAAGGACAACTTCAAGAAGTTCTACGAGCAGTTCGGAAAGAACCTTAAGCTCGGAATCCACGAGGACTCTACCAACCGCAAGAAGCTCTCCGAGTTCCTTCGCTACGCCACCTCTGCCGGAGAAGAGCCAACTTCCCTCAAGGAATACGTTTCCCGCATGAAGGAGAACCAAACCCAGATCTACTACATCACTGGAGAATCCAAGGAAGTCGTCGCCGCTTCAGCATTCGTTGAGCGCGTCAAGAGCCGTGGATTCGAGGTCCTCTACATGTGCGACCCAATCGATGAGTACTGCGTCCAGCAGCTCAAGGAGTACGACGGAAAGAAGCTCGTCTCTGTCACCAAGGAAGGACTCGAGCTCCCAGAAACTGAGGAGGAGAAGAAGAAGTTCGAGGAGGACAAGGTCGCTTACGAGAACCTCTGCAAGGTCATCAAGGATATCTTGGAGAAGAAGATCGAGAAGGTTGCCGTTTCCAACCGTCTCGTTTCTTCGCCATGCTGCATTGTCACCTCGGAGTACGGATGGTCCGCCAACATGGAGCGTATCATGAAGGCTCAGGCTCTTCGTGACTCGTCCACCATGGGATACATGGCCGCCAAGAAACACCTTGAGATCAACCCAGACCACGCTATCATGAAGTAAGTACAACTTTTCCATCACATCTGATCTCATACTAATTTCTTATTTTCAGGACTCTTCGTGAGCGCGTCGAGGCTGACAAGAACGACAAGACTGTCAAGGACTTGGTTGTTCTTCTTTTCGAGACCGCTCTTCTCTCATCAGGATTCTCCCTCGAGGAGCCACAATCCCACGCTTCCCGCATCTACAGAATGATCAAGCTTGGTCTCGATATTGGAGATGAGGACATCGAGGAGTCCGCTGTTCCATCATCGTGCACCGCTGAGGCCAAGATTGAAGGAGCTGATGAGGATGCTTCCCGCATGGAGGAGGTCGACTAAATATCAATCTAATTTATCATTTGTTACGTGATGATCTCCTTGAAGCCCCTCGCACAGTTTTATTCTTTGTTTTCTGTCTATCGAACCCAATAAAGATCCCTAATTATTAATGATGTTTTTTTTCACGCAAAATTTCCAGTAACAGGTTAATAGGTAAGTGGATGTCGCAAATCTGATCCCTGAGCCGGTTGGTTGCACATCTTTAAGATTCCAAGTAACTGCTGATTCAGGAGAAACCGTACACACCTCGTGAACGTCCTGCTTTTAATCAGAAGATTTGGGAGCCAACTCAGGAAGTGTTCGAGAAGCATCAATTGAGCTGTCGTTGGATGAAACCTTCGAAACCATCTGCTCGACCACCTATCCCACCTATACACGCAGTCTAATTAATCTCTCATTTCCGTTTTCCCGAAATAAATGATCACCTTATAAAATGAACCCCACACAAATAATCCCACCATCTGTCACTAATTTCCCTCGAATCCGCTTTCCGCGCACACGCAAATCCGTTGATGCGTGCTTTGAATCGACGACGTCCGTTTCTATGCCAACTCGACGACGCCTCCGGCTCTCAGCAGTTCCGTTGGCTCTCACCTTCTTTCTCTCTCGTGTTCTGTGCCACTTTTACTAGTATTAATTATGAAGAGCTCTGCTTCTGCCGCGACTGGAGGGACTTCTCGTGACACGACACAAAACAAACGAATGATGAAGAAGCCGAAAGCTGTTAGGGTATGTATTCGTGATAAGAGGAACTAGAGGGGATAAGCAACAAAGTTTATTCTATTTCTTCTCGAGCAACACGTTGAGTTAATAAAGTAAAGTGCCCTGCTTGATTTTCTGTTACTGGCGGTGGGAAACCGGTTCTTTCCTGCCACTCACTCTTCCGCTCTATTTGTTCTCTTTTCCTCCAACAAATGATATGATTTGTCAAGTACATCTAACGTGCCGTCGATAGCTCAGTTGGTAGAGCGGAGGACTGTAGAGTCAGTGGGTATCCTTAGGTCGCTGGTTCGAATCCGGCTCGACGGATTTCTTTTTTATTTGTTTTTTATTGGGATGCGATTTCTATTTTTTTTTCAGACTGCTGCTACTGTAGGTGCGCGGCGGAAAGTTCCAGTTTCGATGAGTGGGAATAAGAAAAGGGTTCAAGTGGTGGAGCCCATTCAAACTCAAAATGTCGATGCTCGGAAGGTGGCAGAAGCAGAGAAACGGTTGAATGCGATCCAAGTTCAGAAAGATCGATTGAAGGATCGAGCGGACAAACTGAGTGGAAGTTTGAATAAAACACGAGTTGAATTGAATGCTGCTCAACAGGAAAGAGGAAGGATTCAACAGTTTTGGAGGATCGCTGAGAATGGATTAGATGAAGAACGAGAGAGAACAAGAGGAGTGGAAAGAACAATGTTCGATATGAAGACCCAACAAGCAAATCAAGTTCAACGTCTTCAACAAAAAATTCGAAGTTTAGTATTTCATGCAAAAGTGAATCGAAATGCTGGAACTCAATCTGAACCAATTCCACCAACCGGAGGACTAGAAAGTGTGGAATGCCAGACTTTGGAGGAATTGACAAAAGAGAAGGCAGCGAACATTTTGAGACAATCTGATGATCTTCTTGTTGCATTCATCGCTGAATTGGAAAAGGATAAATTGGAAGCACAAAGTGATTTAAAGTATGCAATTGTGCATTTGGAGCAGCGAATGAAAGAAGAACAAGAGACACAAATGGAGGCGATGAAGGAAGAAAGAGATATCGAAATTGAGGAAATCGGATTGAAACATATGGAACAAATAAGAACAATCGAATCCGCGAACAACGAGCAAACCGCTATGATGCAAGGCAAAATCGACTTTCTACAGGTATTTTTTTAATTCTGGCCAATAAAAATTGATTTTTTCAGGCAGAAATCTCGAATCTTCGAAATATGCGAGATTCTTTGTCGGCTGATTTGGTGGATAGTCGGGAGAGACTTACAGAACAAGCTGCTCTTTTGGGGCAACATCAAGCAAATATCGATGAAATGAGCAAGGAGATTGCAAGACTTCAGGATTACAAGAAAAGTTTCCAGGTAGGAAGAGTACTGTAAACACTAATAGAATGCCCCTCCTATCGTCAACTTTGAACCAAAATATCGTCGGTTCCTGTAAAATATATGAAAAAGTGGTCAACTGACAAAATCTTTATTATAATATCAAACATATTTCATCAGTTCATAATGTTTTGATATCTTTCACAGCAACCCTAAATTGGTTTTTAAAATTTAAAATTTCAAAATTAGGTTTTTGAGAAACATCTGATCTCTTTGTTCGATATAAACTTTCAACGAATTCTGAAAATCGTTTCAGCGCGACATGCGAAACGTGGAAAATATGAGAAAAGAAGTGGAGAAATACAAAGAACTCAACGATATCATAATGGGAGAATTCGAGAAAATCGAAAAAGAGCGAGACCAACTTTTGGGCGAAGTCGAGCGAAATCTGGGACGGCTAGAAATCAGCAATCAACAAAAATTCGAAAGGCTGGAAGAGCGAGGAAAGAAGTTGTAGTGAAATTTGAATTTTTTATTCATCATTTTCAAAGTTTACAATTCATAATAATTCATAAATTTTTTGGTTTGGCATAATAGAAATTTGTTTAAATTCAAAGATATGAAAAGGCACATAAAACTTTTTGATCCGGTGTATACTGTTATTGTCTTTAATTTGAGGGAGGGGAAGAGAAAACAAAATAAAAAGGGGGAAACCGAATTGAAACCTAAATATGAAAATAAAATTTTTTTAAAAGTTTTTTTTTGAATTTTTTTGTAAAAAATTTATGCCCATCCTCCGGTAAGTTTATGGAAAAGTTCTTCATTAAGCGTTTGTGATTGTTCTTTACTTCTCATTGATAGGAAAATATAGCCTCCAATGAACTCGTGAACCACTTTACAATCGGCCGAGAGAGGCTTGAATTCGATATCTTCGTCTTCGAATTGAATCTGAAAAAAATTATGAATTCAGATTTTTTTGAATAGTTTATTAAAAATTTATAAACTCAGAATTTTTTTAAATACATTTTTTAAAAATTTATAAATTCAGAAATTTTTTTGAATAAATTTTTTGGAAGTTTATAAACTCAGAGGTTTTTTTTCGAAGAAATGGGTCTTTTTCAAATTGTAAGCATACTGTAAAACCTATAATAGAAGGGCTCCCTAACTTTTAACTTTGAGCCAATTTATCTCGGCTTCTCGGAAAAATTTTCCACTGATAAATTGTTTATCATAAAATCACCAATATTTTATCAGTTGACATATTTTTGATATCTTTTATAGGAGCCGAGATAATGGAGCCGAAACTTTACAGAGTGGGGGCACTTCTATCACAGGTTTATCCGGTTTGATGTTTTGATATTTTGATAGCAGTTGAATTACAGAAAATTAAAATTTATCTTCTAACCTTAAGATGCCGAATCTCCCAATTGACATGCCACTTCTTCATATTCGAGAATCTCCACGTCTTCAAACTCTCTCCATTATCCATATTTAATTTTGCCAATCGATTGATCGCCACTGCAACCAATTCAGCCTTTCTGGCATTTCGGAATCTTACAATAAAATAGTGAATTCCATGTTCTGGAAGTGCTTGCCACGCCCGAATGTACTGTAACTTTGCTTCGGTGGCTGTGAGTTGTCGAACATTTCCATGTGCATCTGATACTCGCTGCTGGATTGATTGTTTGCTTTTCGCTCTTCTAACGTATTTGGAAGATATATATTCTTCGACATTGAAATCGTTTGGCAGTTTGACAGCATTCGCTTTTCTAGAGGATGTGTTGTTTCCATTTTCGCTTCCGTTGGCTGAAAAAATATTTTTTCAACATTTGATTCAATTTTCTAAACTCACCATTTTGCATTTTCAACAAATTTTTGATGGATTCAACTTCAGATTGGAATGATGAATCAGCCATGGTCTTTCCTCTGGATGCCAATCGACACGCAGCCATCCATCTAGCATATTGAATCTCTGAATCACACTTCAAAATGAAATCCATCATTCCTTCAGCAGTTGGAACTAATAATTTGATATGATATTTTTGTTGATTGACTGAAACATCCGGACTGACTTCGCATCCCTTCAACGAGAAATTTCCCAGTGGAGCTGAGTTTGTATCAGCGGAGCTTTGATGATATGTCAAATATAGGTCACGGAAGGAGAAAAATGCTCGTTTGAATCCCTTGAATGCAGCTAACTTTTTGGGTTTCATATATTTCAAATAGTCAGTCAACTCTGGAATTTGTGTCAAATCTGACCGTCTGTTGAGAGCTGCAGCATCAAGATTGTGTTCAAGTTCATCCAGAAGAATATCCACGTCATCTTTATTATTGTCTTCTGGTTCTGGAGAGTCTCTTTGGAGGGTGGCTTGAAGTTGAAGGGCAGCAAAGAGTGTAGCTTCCTCTTCAGTGTGATCGTATTCATCAAGAAGGATACTCCATTTGGCTTGTTCGTAAAGTTGATTGATTCTCACTGGATCATACTTTGGATTCAAATCGAAGAAATTCATGAATTTGAATCGGAGAAGAACAATATCTCCTTCAAATATTCCTTGTTCCATGAGAGATCTGCTAGAATCCAACCATCCACGATTGATTGCTGCCTTCTCAATATAATTTTGTGGTCGGAAAACAGGTGTATCTTTAGTTGGAGCAAGTCTTGGAGAATGCACAAGAGCATCATCAAATTGCTCATTTTCCAATCCTTCACTGAAACTAATACTTGGCATAATTGGTGTTCTTCTCATAGTATCATTGTATGCTCCTGGAGATGGACTGACTCCTCTTGGAAGTGTATGTCCGTGACGTGGAAGGGTTCCCATTTCATTGGCATTGAAGATGTGACCAGATTGGGAGAGAGCAGGAGACATTCCACGTCGACGATGGTCTAGATTCGATTGGGAAGCGAAAATTGGAGTGGCTTTTCGAAGGGTCATCGGACCGATTGATTCCTCTCCTGGACGCATTGAAACTGGTCCACTGAGATTGTCAGCGTCAGAAGTTCCACGACGAAGATCATCTGGTGGAATGTATCTGGAATTTGAAGTTTATTTATTGCCGTTCTATCAAATAATTACCTCTTCAACGACAATTCCTCTGAATATCGGATTCCGAGATCTCTGCATAACTTCTTGGTGGCTTTGAATGAGTTTACTGAGAAATCAACTCGAGCATCGATCATTTGCATGTCCGGAAGTTGGATTCTGGCATCCTTATGCATTGGAGTGAACTCCAACTGAGTTTCAGCAGTGATTCCATTCTGGTCAAGAGTGGAACGAGTGTGCTGGAGCCATCTTCGTTTCTCGGGCCACCAGAGAGCATGGTCCGACCAATCACGTTCGGTGTCTGAAACAAAAAATATTTGAGTTGCATTTTTGATAAAGGTTTTTGAAAAGATTACGGCAAAAGGGGACCAAAGGAACATTTGGTTAGGGAACCCGATTGGTCTAGATTTCTACAGGTAAAACCTGTAATAGAAGGACCCCTAACTTAATACTTTGAGCCAATTTATCTCGACTCCTGTCAAAGATATCTAAAATGTGTAAACTGATAAAATGTTTATCATAGTATCGTCAACAATTTATTAGTCGACAGATTTTCGATATCTCTCATAGGAAACGAAGACAGTTGAGCTCAAAGTGCATGAATAGAGAGTAGGCTTCTGTTAAAGAATTTATGCCACTTGGGAGTAGAGTGATTTGAAATTCGATGTTAATTTTGTCATCTCTGGTTTTAAGCTACATATCTCCAAAAGATAACTTAAACAAAAAGGTTGTCAACTACAAAATTAACGCTTAATTTTAGTTTCATACAACTGAAAATTTCAAAACTTATAGCATAAAATTGAATGATGTTCAGGCATCAAAAGTTAACCGCTCTAAATTGAACGGGATTACCTTTTGCTAGAGTTCTTTGTATTTTTCATACTTTTTCTAAAGATTTGTATTTTTTGTCTGGTTGAATGAATTTTTAAAAGACCTTCCATATTATTATTTAGCATTCTAAAGCTATTTGGAAAATTTTCAGGTTAGACTGAACCATGTCAATGAACGAATTTCCTTACAAGATCCCTTCCCCGATTTTCAAAATTCAAAACTTCCAAAACCCCGATAATTCATGTTCAAAAATATCTTTTTCTTTTCATAAAACTTGATGGTGTCAAAAACATTTTTCTGTTTTTACGCCCTCTCTGCTCTTGATCATGATGAATGTTAGTTTGTTTGTGTGATCTCAAGGGACCCGCCACATCTATGATTGTGTGTCGGGGTCTGGCCAAGTTTTATGTACCAGTAGAAAGGGAGAGGATGAGACCCTCGGTCCGAAACAATCAGCTTATGTAGATGCGCACACTTGAATAGTCAACAAAAGAGACACATCAACTGGTAGAGGATATCCTCCCCATAAATATTTGATTGGCGGATGAAAAGAAAAAGAAAACGAAGAAGAAGAAGAAGGCCAACTATGAATATTGAGAGAGAGTATAGGATCAGATGACAAGTCAGGCTAAGTTTTGGATTTAAGAGAAATTCGTAAACTAGTACTTTTGGCAGTCTTATCGTAACTTTAAGGCAGTTTTTCTCTATTCCTGTCAAAGATATCAAAAAGTTGTCAATTGATAATTTGTTAATCATAATATCAGAACTGTTTTGTCAGTTGACACCTTGTTGTTATCTTGCATAGGAATTGAGATAATTAAGCTCAAACAGGTTTTACGACATCTGGGTAGCAAATTTGAAAATTTTCTTGCGACATCACGAATTTCCGGTCTTTTTCAGATTCTCTCAATTTTTTTCCAGATTTTTTCTTATTTTTATCTTCATCTTCCTGATGGAGCATCAGATCTTCCTGTCACATATCTCTTCTGCTTCTTTCTGTGTTGTAACAAACGCGTAGGCGAGAATCGAAAAGAAGCAAAATGTGCCAGTGAGAAAAGAAAAAGAAGAGACTTTATGATTGGGAAGATGATCGTTGATATCTTCTTGTGATAACGAATTTTTAGGAAAAAAAAAAGACTTACCACATTCATTGACAAGTTGGAGCATAAGACCACCGATGTGAAGATCTCCACGGACATATACGGATCTGAAAATGTGATGGCAAAATTAGGAAATAATGATAAAATATTGCAATGGAAGTAGATTGTGTATTCAACTTCGCCTATTTTTTAGAACTAAACATTTTTGTCTCACCTTGAAATGTTCAAATCGGTGACCAAAATTGGCAACTGCCATGTTCCATCAATGATGGAGGATCCTTCAACAAGGTGTGCCATTCTGGCAGATGTTTCAGGTTAAAACCACTGGAAAAAATACTGATTAGAACAAACAAATCAATATACGAATGATGGGGACAAAAGGTATGCATAGATAGCGAAAGAGAGAGAAAAAAAAAGAAGAACGTATGTAAACGATAAAAAGGAACAGAAAAAGAGGACGGGATTGCCGGTGCGGACGATCGAACAAACGGACGGACGGCGGAGCAGTACAACAGGCAGAGAGGTCTCTCTCTCTTTTTCTTTATGTGACTCACATCAACACCGTCTCTCTTTCTCTCGTTCCATTGAAAGAAGAGAGTGGGCAGTTGTATAGTGGAACCATAAGAGACGCAGCATTGAAGGACACTCGCCAGGCGGAGGACGTATACGCGGGAATGGGAAGCAGAAGGAATGACAGTAGGCGATGGAGAATAAGAAGAAGACAACATTACACACCCTTCGGAGTCCCCCACCCCGGCTGGCAGCAAGATTTGGAGGAGGAGAAAGATGCCACAGGAAGCTTCTGAAGAAGAAGAAGTATAGGATATCACGGGTAGTTGAGTATTATGAAGGAGAGAAAGAAGTGCAATGAAGGGTAAAAAGGATACTAGCTTTCCATGGTGATTGACGATTCTTTTGTTGGGTTCGGAGGATGGACATATGGTAACCGATTCGAGGTGACAGGAGGGCATTTTTTGTTTAGAAGTCATTAATTTCGAATTCAAACTTCACATGTGTACCGTAAAACCTGTTGGTGACAGTTTGGGTGCCCTTCTATTAGGGGGTTTACTGCAGTTACTGTACTGTAATGACAACATGATTGAGACTTGCAGGAGTCAGTTTCTAATTTCCAATTACAGAAAATACGAAAATGCAGTTTGATTTGTGTTGTGCATTTTCAGACTCATCCGAAAAGTACTTCTGGAGATTCATAGAACGAATTTGAAATGTAATATAAATTCACCGTAACTTTATGAAAGGAACTTTCCCTGGCATACTGTAATGAAAATAAGGACTGCATAGGGAAAATTTGAATTCTTCTCTACGTACAGTAACGTTCAATAAGACATACAAAAACGTATTTTTCAGTTGATTTTCGCCCATTTTGATCATTTTCCGGAGTTTGGAGCTTGGCTATCAAGTGTCTGACAACTTTGAAAATTTTAGAGGGTGTGAAACAGACATATATTAAAAACTTCGCCTTCACAGAATTTAGTTTTTCAGATATTTGCCGATTTCCGAAAAACACCTTCTTCCCGTTTTCAGAACGAAAAATGACGAAAAAGGGTTTGAGCTTATTTTTCTTGGCTCATATGCAAGATATCAAAAATGTGTCAACTGAGATAAAACATTTGTATTATTATGAAAAACAATTTATCAGTGCACAATTTTTTGATAACTTTCCCAGGAACTGAGATAAATTGGCTCAAGAATAAGGGATCTTCTATTACAGGTTTTATGGTTTTGGTTTTCAGATTCACTCTAATTATCAATTCCTTAATTCATCATTCAAGACAAAGACAAATAATGAGTACTTACAAGTTATGAACACTACAAAAATCACAATTTATTAGAAAGTCGTCTCGGATTTTCAACAGATTTCTCAGAAAATTTGCATTTTAGTATTTGTAAAACAGTTAATTTTATCGGCTTTGTTAGCAGAATCATCGCAAGTGTAGAAGCGAATCCGTGGAATGTCAGAAATATGAAAGAAATCTTAGCAACTGCTGAAAATTGGAAACTTTTGGTTTTGGATTTCTGGACTCACATTCATGTCTGACTCCGAAGAATGCAGCAAAAATGAAAAGTGAATTGGGTATACCCAACATGATACCGTGAATTGCAGTCTGAAATTTTGCATGATTCAAAAAACTAAATTATCAAAAAATACCTGAATTGATAAAGTGATCAGTAACATGTTATGCATTCTGACAACTGCCGCCGATTGATGTGAGTTCTCTTTTAAATTTCTGCTCAAATAAATTGTGGTTGAAGTCGTTGAGGTTATTGTAATGATAACCACAAATAACCAAATTATCATGTTGTACAGAGAAATTGGATCTTCAAATGGCGCAGCAACTATGACATTGGGACATATGACAAGAATTGAAGATTCTGGGTAACGGTTCGAAAGATTCTGACGAATTATATGTTGCTGCTCCAATCCGATATGATATGTGATACAGTTTGCAACAATGAAACCGATTAAAACTATACGGAAGATATATGTTTTGATTTTCAGATAAATGTAAAACCTGCACGATTTATAGTCCAACATATTCGCTCGAAATCGAAACATGAACATTTCGAAAACCGAGTAAGCTGTTTCTAAAAAATTATCTTTTAAATGGCTATTGTCAGATTCTTGACAATGTCAAGTTAACATACGATATATCATTGACACAATGATCAAAAATTGAAATAAACCACTGAATCCCCACTGAGAGAGGAATCCAGTAAACCTGAGAAGTGGAAGGGGAAGATGAACGACAGGAACCAGGAACCAGGAATTCAAAATTTCAGCAAGAAGATTTCTGAAAAAGCGGATGTGTAAAATATCTCAAATTTCCACCAACCCCAAAGGGTGCCAGATCAAAAATAGTTTATAGGTTTCGAAATACGTGGATTTGGTTTGCAACAGTGCGATAATTGCGACAATATAAACGGGAAGAGAAAGTATTAACACAAAATGTAATATCCAAAAATATTCATCTTTCTCCGAACTCGAGCAATCCATTTTTTCCTTTTTTTTTGGAGAATGAATTGTGAAGTTGAGTGGTTGTTAGGTTTAGGCAGGAGATTTGATTATATGTTATTTGAGTTGGTGGAATTTTGATCAACAAATCGTGCTTTTTCAGGTACCTGGCTCTGGAACAAAACATAATTGGGGTTGAAATGTGCTCATTAAATTTTTTACGAAAGAAAAAATCCTATGATTTTTAGCCTCGTCAGCTTTCTTTATTCAAAGAAAGACGTTTTTTTTAAATTGAAATGCTTCGAAAGTTATGTACTGACATAATTTTAATTAGAAACAATCCAAAAAAATCGAAATCCTTGAAAACGCCATTTTCTTTTTCTACCGGTTACATTTTTCCTGTGTCAAATATCTAAATTATCCCGTTTCCCCTCCCCTACTCAGATCGGCCTCGTGAGGGGCATTTTTTCTGAGTCTTTCATGTCCTGCCCTCTAATGTTTTATTACACCTGATCAATAAACAAATTAAGTTAAAAATGGTTCAATTGTCGAAAAAGTTACAAAATCAAAAACGCGTTTTGCTTTTCCAGTCCTGAGCCACATCCTTGTGGAATTTTACTAAAATTCTCAACTCAAAAAGCACTTTTTTTAGCCTTCTCCTAATTTTTCAAACGGAGCTGACTAGCTCTGATCAATTTTTCAAGCAAACTTCCTTTTGATTTTTTTGTTCATCTGCTATACATATCCATACTCTACCAGCCAGTAACTACACTACTAATTGCTCTCTTTATCCAAGTATCCGGTTTTTCGCCCTCGGATCACCAACTTTTCCCGTTACTTTCTATTTTTCTCCTTCTTCCATATTACGCAATACTGCTATGTCATGAAAAGAACGTTTTTGCTGTATTTCTACCTATTTTGGCATTTTCAAGTTTTAACTGAACGTGTTGATCCTCTGGAATCTTTGATAAGAAATGGATGGTTGATGTTGAGAGATTACGGAGAGAAAATGATTTCAAATATTGCCATTCCCAGAACTTCTGATGTTCCTGAAGGGGTTTCATCCAATTTTCAGTTGGATCCTGATAAACAGAAAGCCTTGGATACAATTACACAGGTACTCCAAAATTTTAGAGAATTTTGTTCTGAATGAATATTTCAGATGATGAACACATGCCCAAGAGGGTATCCGGTTCAAGAAATCAAAGGAGTTTGGCACATCACAAGAATCAGCAAACGGATGCTTCACACTGTCTTTGTGGATATTCATGAGGCAATTGAAAAACTGTCAACTGGCGGATCAGTTAGTTCCAGAAAATCGTTGTTTTCTTTGTTCAAAAGTCATCCGATAATGAGGTGTTTTCAAGTTACAAGTAAGTTTAGAAACAAATTAGGGACTATTTTTGACTCCGCCTAAAAAGTTTTACAACTTCAAAATTTGATTCAGAGAATAGTAAGCGAATAAAAAGTTTTATAGGGAGCTCATAATTCCCCGAACTCAAATTGAACTAGCATAAAATTTGAGTAAATCGTTGTATTGGGCTCAAACTTGGAGTAAGGCAATTCAAATATTTCATCAGTAAATTGACCAAGTTTCAAATTATTTGATCAACTTTGAGGGGAGTTATCGCTTGTCAAATTTGCTTTATCTCATGAAAATCACAACGGTGTGCAAGAAAAATTATGCAGTTCATCTTTGGACAATCATAACAATACCTAGACTTGAGGAATCGCTTTGGAAATTTCACTAGCTTTGAATCAAGCGTAAAATTATCGTTCTACCAATTTTCGTGGTGTCAAGACACTTATGTCTAAAGATGTACCCGTTTTTATCGGTCCAGGTTATTGTGGGACGCTCTGTAGAATAGAATTAGGAATAAAATTAGTCGAGAGTTTACCTTCAAACTTTTACAACTCCGAATTTCGATTTTCAAAATTTTAAGCCAACAAACAAAGTTTTACTATGCGATTTTAGTACTCGACGACTCCACTTCTTCTCCATTCGAATTCTCCTACCGCTCAACTGACGACCAACGAAAATCAATAATCGGTCATGCATCGCGTGCTTCAACGACCCAAATTACTCTCCACCTAGCATCCATAATTGACATTCCCCTTTCTGTTGTTCATGCAAATTCCCATTTCCTAATCCTCTCTCAAACCGATACGGTACCTACTCCATGTGATAGTTTTCTGGTTCTCGAGAGAAATCCAACTATTTCTTCTTCTTCTTCTGTATCTAGTGAAATATCTCAAGTTCTTGGTTCTCTTGGTGCCCACTCAGCTGCCAACCCAATAATTTCTATGAATCACTGCAATGATCTTCCAACCAAAATTCTCCCCTCTAGTGAGTCGAATTCTATTATCCGACCTGCGTCGGAAGTATTGAACTCTAATTCTAATGTTAATTCTTTGCCAAAATTGAAAAAGCTTTTATAATAAATCTATTTCTTCATTTCAACCATTTCTGAAATAAGTGGAGGAATCTGAATCGGGGGACCAGGTGCAACTGGGGCTATAAATGGTGGAATTGAAACTGGCTGAACTGGGATTGGAGCAGGAGTCAGATGACGTCCACGATCTGAAAATCATTAAAAATTAGGATCCAATGACGCACGAAATATGGTGTTACTTGGATCCGGACTCTTAACCATCAAATCCTTATAATTATTCTCCATCTGTCTAACCACATCAGCATTTTCCGATGTTTGAATCATTCTTGGACGGAGGACAGTGAACGAAATTTCATAGGAAGGAGAAATATGCATAATAGCTCCACAGTTTGTATCATTTCCACAGTAATAGGGAGCCGAGAATACAGTCACAATTTTCCGATTGAACATGAAATTGAATCCATCTTGAGACACCTCATGAGCTCTCACAATCAACGATAATCCCAGCTTTTTCATGAAATCCGTAAGTGCTTTTTCTCCGAAAACCACCGAAATCGCTCGTTGCTGAAAATGGAGAAATTTGAGCTTTTCAGATTTTAAACAAACCTGATTAATTGCAAACGCATTACACTTGTCTTGTGTCGGATCTGCCCACATCAAATCCACCTGAAGTCCCTCGTCACAAGTTTTTGGTGTGTTTGGTTTTTTGAGATTTCGGAACGATTCCCATGAATTGCAGTTTTGGGAGATTCCGCCGTGCATACATAGGATTTTCTGACCGACTCGAGCGCAGAGAGGAAGTTCATTGAATACATTCTGCAATTATTGGCACTATAGTAAGTTACCGTAAAAATCTCCGAAGGGCCCTCCAATAGGCGGGGGTCCTTTCTATTTTCTCGGCTGTTTTTTCTCGAAAATTTTCAGGACTCTCGTTCAAGATTAATGAACAATTTCACTAAAATTGAGCAATGTTGTGAACACAAAATAGTGTTTCAACAATTCTCGGTGAAATTATAACATTTCCGGAATATTTCCCGAAAATGTACGGAATTTTTCTTTTAGAGGGGCCGTTTTATTGAAGGGGGCCTTCAATTTTTTTGAATTTGGCACCAAAATGCGGGCGTCCAGTCAAAAAAGTACTTGAATTCTCAAAGTTTCAAAAGAAAATTATATGCTTAGGCTGAATCGCGTTGCTTTGCTTTAATTGGGACACCCGCATTTTTCCGCCAAATTTGAAAAATTATGGGTTTGAATTTGAAAAATTAAATTTTATTTTTGGTTTGTGATGTTTTTTTCACTAAACCCCTAGATAGCCGACTTGTCTCTTACATTTTTCAAACAACTCCTTCAGTTTTACTTGTAGCTTCTGCCTATTCTCGTTTTTCCCCACTACTAACCTGGTAACGCTTCCACATACGTGTTCCTCTCTTTCTCGCTAACTCCTCATGAAACCCGTACAACCGATTCATCTTCATGCATTCATGGTTTCCACGCAACAAATGAACCACATGAGGGTACCTGATTTTGTAGCAGAAGAGAAGAAGAGACACTTCCAGGGACTTTGCACCACGATCCACGTAGTCTCCAAGGAAGAGAAATTGAACTTTCGGAGGGTATCCAACGGCATCGAAATAACGAATCAGAGAGTCTAGTTGGCCATGAATATCACCGAAAATAGTGACAGGATGCTCGATTTGAAGCATTGCTGGCAGTGGTTTTAGTGTTGATTCAGTCTGGAATCGGTGTAGTTGGCATATATTTATATATCAGTTTTCAAATATCAATTTTCTAGGTTTGACCGAGATTATTGAGATAAAAAGTCGGTGATTCCAAAAAAACAAACCTTATCCAAAATCGTGAGCATCTGTTTATCACAAAACGCATCCAAACATCTCCATTGCAAAAGATGATCAATGATCCGTTGAGCCAGCTGATCGACTGATTCTCCATCGAAAATGTCAGTTTTTCGAATACTTTTCATGATTCAAAACGAGTTAGGAATAAGTGGGTATGGCTTGTTGGTTTACGAAAAACTTTTAAATTTTTTAGTTCCACGAAGAATTTTTTTGAACTTTTAAAACGAAATACCGTATTTCCCCATACTAATTGACTTCCCCTAACTTTGAACCTGTATATCTCGGTTCCTGTGAAAAATATCGAAAACTGGTCAACTGACAAACTATTTATCGTAATTTTGAAAATATTCTGTCAATTAACCACTTTTCGATATCTTTGACAAGAATCGAGATAATTAAGCTTAAGAATTATAGAGGAAATACGGTGCGGCAACTTTCATTATCAATACACAGTTTTTTTTTTCAATTTTGCAAGGTGTGGCAAACAAAGTTCCGTTTCATCAGTATATCATATTGTTGTCTTTTGTTTCATTTTCTTCATTTTTATGATCTTTGTTACAGCTTCTATAAATAAAACAATCTTCAAGTCTACTAAAAGTTCCAGTCTAAAACAATGAGTTTCCTGACTATCATCTTCTTCTTATCTTTATTAATTAGCTCTATCTATTGCGATCGCTATAGATCATCTGAATCAAAATCGTCGTCATCTTCGGAATCTTCGGGATTTAAAGAATCCATTTCAACGCCACCTGTTTTTCCCGTGGACGACTTCCCAGTTCCGGAACAAATATTACAGTCTGTCACCGATGATAAACCTTATAAAACCGCAAAAACAAAATTGTCATTATTGTGAATGATTTCATTTAGAAAAATAAATTTGTGCGTGTGTGTGTTTGAACTGAAAACATTCTGAACGCAATGTGTCTTGATCTATAACTTTGTGCTGTGTACGTAGACTATAAACGATAGTCTATTTTAAAACCAGTTATCAGTTTATTGATATTTTTCATCATCGTAGTTCGTGGCCGGGTAAGGCTGGTCGCTATAAAAAAGGAAGAGGTTGTGTTGTTGTGGGTGTCTGGATTTTAACTTTATGCTTTGTTATCTTTTTTCTGATGATGAGGAATTTTCCTGTTTGGGTAGTAGAAATTTTTATTACGGCATAGCAATTGTTGCCTTCCAGTATATATTCTGTCTTATATGATTTTTTGACCCGTATTTCTCCTGGACACTATCTTATCTCCTCTATCTCCGTTTCTAGAGTATATGCAAAAAATTGTCAGGAAAAAAACATATTGTAATAATCTGTCGCACATTTTTAGTTGACATTTTTATATATACAGCAGAACCTCTAATAGAACGACCCCAGACTGTCAAGTTCGAGCTATTTTTTCTTGGCTCCTATGCAAGGTATAATAAAAGTGTCAACTGATAAAATAATTGTGATTTTATGATGAATAATTTATCAGCTGACATTTTTTGACATCTTTTACAGGATCCGAGATAAATTGGCTCCAAGTCGAAGCAAAGGGACTCATTCTAATAGAGTGTTTACAGGAGCCTAAATGAATAATTTTTCAGTTTTTGTTAAATTTCACTTTTTTCCAGACATGAATCTATTTCTAGTCATGGCTAACTGGACATCTCAAACTCCTCCATCATCCGCAGTTCCTGTTCTAAAACCATCTGAAGACTCCAAAGTTCGAAGACCCAGCCGAGATTCCACTAAATCGATCGAATCACAAAAATTGGATGATACGAAACCATTGTAAACTCTTTATTTGAATATTGCATTAAATAAACCATTACATACCGTAAAACATACCGTAAAACATACCGTAAAACCTGTATTAGTAGGGCCCTCCAAGAGATGCTTGGCAAAATAGAAGGACCTCTTTCAAAATGTGTTGTTTGAAACTAAAAATTCGCGTACGATTCCAGTGAACAATTTTCCAGAAGTTTCACAATTTCACAGGATATTGTTGAAACTTTTTTTTTGCCCAACTTTTTGTGAAATTGATAGATTGTTATGAATTTCAAACGAGTATTCACCGAATTTGTCGATGAAAATTTCAGAAAAAAATGGCGGGAAAATGAGAAGGGTCCTCCGCAATGTGTGACTACCGATTGTCACTTACCGGTAACCTACCGGTAAATTTGAAAACTACCGAAAATTTACCGGTATTTTCCAAATTTTGAAAAAAAAAACAGAAAATTTTCCTAGAAATTACCGGTAGTTTTCGGTTACCAGTAAATTACCAGTCAGTTACCAGTAAATTACCGGTAAGTTACCGGTAAAATTACCGGTAAATTCACCGAAACCGTACCGATAGCACACACTGGTCCTCCGGAAGAACCTTGTTAGAGTGTTCCGGTATTATTGAACACATGGAAGAAGCTTGTTTTCCCTTCTAGCTATCACTTTTTTGGGTACTCCTTGCGCCGTTCATCATTAACCAAACAGTTAATATGTTAGCTGATAAAAAATGATGGGGGTGTTCAAAACAAAAGTCTAACCGTATAAAATTGGAACATTTTGAGTCATTATTGTACGCTGAATCTACTATGATTGCTCTTCTCATACTTTTTCTGGCTGCGAGTTCCGCCACAAAAGAAATTGAGGAAACTTTGGATGCTGTGAGTCCATCATTTTTACAAAGCCCGCTATTTTTTTTCAAAATTTGAAAAAATTTTTAGGCAGACTATATTGCATATTACGGGTATCCCGTGGAGAGGCATTATGTTACAACAGATGACGGTTACACAAGTGAGGTGCAAAGGATTCCATCTGGAAGGGATGGTGAGTGACTTTGATCTCAATTATCTCGGTTCCTATAAGAAATATCAACGTTTTGTAAACTGATAAAATGTTGGTAATATTATGATAAGTAATTTATCAGTTGACAACATTTAGATATCTTTCACATGAATCGAGATAATTGAGCTCGAATTGAACGTATAGAGTGGACTTCTATTAGAGCAATACGGTAAAAACTGTTACTTTCCTTCGTGAGATGTAACTTTCCAGAAAGACTTATCGAAGGTTGCTCCAAAAAGCGTCCGATCGTATTCTTCATGCATGGTCTGTTTGCCTCCTCCTACTTATATCTATTCAATTTACCATCTCAAAGTCCTGCGTTCGTTTTCGCTGATGCTGGGTTTGATGTGTGGCTTGGAAACGTTCGTGGTACGGAGTACGGTATGAACCACACAAAGTTCGATGCGAAGGATCCGAGCTTCTGGAACTTTACGTAACTGGATTTTTTGTAACTAGCCAGACCCCTGAACACCCATTTTAGATTGTACGACTACTCACACTACGATCTCCGCCAACAAATCGAGTATGCTTTGGAGGAAACTGGCCAGGAATCATTATTCTATGTAGGACACAGCCAAGGAACCACTGTGATGTTTGCAAGACTTGCAGAAGCAGATGCCACGTGGCAAAACAAAATTAGATTATTTTTTGCCTTGGGACCAACTGCCGGATTCCTAAAACCATTGATGCCATTCACGTTGCTCGAGAAAGGTCTTTTACAGAAGTTGATTCAGTATGTACTAGATGGAAGGTTCGGGATCCAGCCAGTTCAAATTCCAAAAACCTTATTATCACATCTCGCTGATTTTTGCTCTTCACCATTCCTTTCTCATCTGTGCTCAGCTGGATTTCATATCGCATCGGGTCTGGAAAAACTGGGTCAAGTTAATGCAGTGAGTTCTTTGGGAAGGTAAAACATACAAAGACAAGTTTTCAGTCGAGACTTCCAATCATTTTGAGCCATTTTCCATCGGCAACTTCCACACTGAACATGCTCCACTGGATGCAAATTTTCAAATATCATGAATTGAGAAGATTAGATTTAGGAGCTGAAAGAAATATGATTGCTTATGGACAAGAAGAAGCGCCTAAATTGGATATTGGAAATATTGTGGCACAAACGATTTTGTACTTTAGGTAGGTTTCCAAAAGATCTGACGAACGAGATATGAACATCACCTCTCATTAAGATATTAAAAACACATTTATCAGTTGATTTTCGGCCATTTTGACCATTTTCAGGTCTGGCGCTCGGCTGTCAAGTTTGCGATCACTTTGAAAATTCTGGAAGGCTTAAAACAGACCTAGATTGAGAACTTTGCATTCACATAATTTTTGAAATTTCCTTGTTTTTTAGCTATTTGTCGATTTCTGGAGGACATCTCTTTTTTAATGTTTTTGTACTGAAGACGTGAAAAAAAGCATGTGTCTTTTAGAAATCGGCAAATAACTGAAAAAATAGGAATTTGCAAAAAAATTCTGTAAATGCAAAATTTTCAATCTGTCTATTTGAAACTTTCCAAAATTTTCAAAGTGATCGCAAACTGGGATACTTGACAGCCGAGCTCCAGACGTTTTTGTATCTATTATTGACCGGTACTGTATATATTTTTTCAGTAAGGATGACAGGATCACAGATGAGGTGGATGTGCGGGAGATCATAATGAAACAGATGGGACCTGGACTCATAGAAAATTACGATTTGGATCATTTCACTCATTCGGATTTTGCGATTGGCCTACGAGCGACAGATGAAGTATACAAACCGATTATCTATAGAATATACAAAGAAATTCAAAAGAATGGGTGTTAAACTAAATTGTTAGACTCTGATAAATAAATAAAATTTCTATTTTTTCAATTAAAGTTGCTGGAAAAAAAACTAGACGGCTTTAAAAAGTAAACTATGTTTTGCAAAGTGAAGCCACCACGATTACTAGTTTTATGACCCGATTACTATCACTACTGGGTCAAAGGACTGCGTCTTCTGTTCTGAACGCTTCTTGCCCTTCTTATCGAATTCGCAGATCGAGAACTCGTTTTTTTGTTAGTTAAAAGAACGACTAAAATGGTTTGGTTAATAAATATTTGGTCGTATAAAAGGAAACGATGAAACCAATTGAATTCACAGTTCAACGAAGATAACATCTTCTTCTACGATGAAGGTGGTCTTCTTCTCCACTGTGATTCTTTTTCACCAGGTGATAGCCGGTGAGTTATAATACTTTCAAAATTCGTTCTGATCATTAACTAAAAGCATTCAGGTGGCGGAGGATCGTATGTGAAGGCTCCAGGTGGTAGTGGCGGAGGCGGTGGTTACGCTTCTGCTGCTGCTCCTCCAGCACCATATGCTTCGACTGGATATGCTTCAGGCGGTGGAGGCGGAGGCGGCGGTGGAGGCGGTGGTGGTGGTGGAGGATACGCCAGCGCATCTGGAGGAGGTGGTGGCGGAGGATATGCATCTGGAGGCGGAGGAGGATCATCAGGAGGATACGCTAAACCACCCGGAGGAGGTGGTGGCGGATATGCATCCGGAGGAGGAGGAGGCGGCGGTGGAGGAGGTTACGCATCTGGAGGCGGGGGAGGAGTGTCGTCAGGAGGATATGCCAAGCCATCCGGAGGAGGTGGAGGATATGCATCCTTAGGGTACCGAGCTCGAATTG